CATGAGTGATATGATTGTGTCTCCCCGTAACCATCTTTACATATGTATTGATCATTTTCTATTAAATTGGATTTTCAACTTTCTGGTCACATGATTTACTTTTTATCATTTAGTATATTTGGTCTGTATTAACATGTTTGTTAGTCGCATATTCGTTTGAGTAGCAGACTTCTAGGAATTCCCTAAAACTTTTGGTGTTTCATGTGTCTAAACTTTTGACATTATCCCAATCAAATTGATGTCCATAGTTGTCTATGTGCACTGATACTAAAGAATATAAATCGTGTCTTTTCGCGGCTGATTTGTAATCCTGGATTCTGATTCGAAGGGGCCACCCACTTTGACTGATGTAATGTCTGTTACAGTTCATACAATTTATTTTGTAAATAATAATAACTGCATCTCCTTTTTTGTTGCATCTTTCGGTTTGCATAATATCGATTTGTCACTGGGACCCGTTCTAATGGCCCACGAATTCTAACTTCTGCCAATCCACGACATAGCGCGACTCCTAGCCAATGTCTTCGGCGTGTATTTGTCCTCACACCTGACCTGCTGCAGCTTACTGGTAACGACTTCTTTCTAGAACCCCAAGTGACTACCTCGCAGAGGACATTGGCTGGGGCCACCCTATGTCGTGAATTGGCAGAAGTTAGAATTCATGGGCCATTGGAACGGGTCTCAGTGGCTTAATGGTCTACGAGCTCGCCTTGTAACCAGAAGGTCATGGATTCGAATCCCGGTGGGTGCTTACTGCAGATGATTCCCAAACTAGGACGAAACGGCTGTCCAGTACTCCCAGGTTTTCCAATGGTTCTCTAACTAATGTCAGCTCATTATGAAAATCCTGTAATCAATCAAATCCCTACAAACCAACACTTGAATATCGAATTAAGCGATTTGACTGGCTTGTGTGCTATATCTATATCAAACGGTTTCAGTATTCTAGCTGTTATTTCAGAGATATTTCCCATGTATGGTAGGATGAATTTTCTTGTGGTCTTTGATGATGGTTGATTCGACTTCAAACACTTTTTGATGAAATTTTGTGGATATCCATTTTTTTTTAAGACCGTTTGTAGGTATTTTCTTCCATTCTTTTCAACTCTGGAGTGCCACAGTGTGTTTGAACTCTCTTAAACAATTTCTGCACACAGTTTCTTTTGTGAGTGAGTAATTGGATTATTGCTAGTATAGTTGAGTATTTGATATGTGTGAGTTGATTTTCTATATTTTTGTGTTTCTTAATTTTCTATGTTGGCTCTCCTGATTAAGACATCTAAAAATGGGATTTTATTATCTAATTCTTCTTCTCTTGTGAATCCAAAATCTTCAAATATGTTGTTTATTAATTTATGAGTATATTCTAAATCATTTCTCTCAATGATTACAAATGTGCATCAGTGTAATGTACCCAGATTTTCGGTTTAATTATAGGTAGAGCTATTAATTCTAATCTTTGCATAACGGCTTCAGCTATTAATCCTGATATGGGCGATCCCATTGGTGTTCCTTTTATCTGTTCGTATATTTGATTATTGAATTGGAAGTATGTTGTAAGGCATAATTTTATAAGTTATATCTAAGTTGAACATTGCGTTTTTATGTTTTCATCACTATAGAGTAATTGTTGCACAGTTTCTGTTGCTAGTTTTGGACTAATTGAAGTATATAATGCTGTGACATCAAAGGACACTATAAGGCTTCAGCAGTACATCTCCATTTCATCCTGTCTTCTGCAGATATCTTTGGCTGGCTAATCGATTACTCATAAGCTTTCCTCTACTGTTTATACGATTTCTTCTAGATCACCCTTGCCTAACGTGTAGTCCTCCACTTCCTTTTTTCAGCATACTTGTTGACTAATAGATGATTGGTTGGTTTGTTGTCAGAGTTCTTTATTCTTTTTTGGCTGGTTATGTGATCTTCAGTATGGAGAAAGAACAGGTGTTAATAAAGATGGTGCGCTTTTTCGCAATGCTTTTTGTGACAAATACATCACCACCACCACCACTAAAGATAAAATTCTGAGTCTCGTCGTTTATGCCTAGCACAGTGGATTTCCATACTGATTTCAGACTAACGGAGGTATGTCTCACCTTCCCGATCCTGAGTGCCCCTGACATCTTTCTTCCTGTTGTCGCTTGTAGTTGAAATGATGTTATGTAGATAAGTGAAAAAGGCGACTTCGTTTAGATTTCTCTTGTTCAGGACAATTGATACTTGCTATTGTTGGTGATAACGCATCTTCTTCACCTCTGTCTTCTCTGCATTCATGTAAAGTCCTGTCTTCGATATGGTTTCTGTCAACTTGCTAGCTTTAGCCCGTAGATGTTTGAGTTTATGTAATATTGGGTGAAAATCGTCTTCTAAGTCTAAATCCTTTAGAGTCTTCTTTTCGGTCAACTTCTAACCCTCTGCCGGACTACTCAGTCCACCACAATCAGAAATATGATGGGTGATAGTCGTCTTCGAAGTTTTCACAACTGTATCTGCACTTGCTAAAATGCTTGGCTGTGTATTATTGAGTATTAGCGTGTGTGTTTGTTGAGCAACGTAATTAATACTATTTCGCACAAGTAGTTGCTTTTTACAGTTCGAGTAATGAATTTACCCTGAATGACATATTTTTCCTCTCTCTGGTATTCCAGATTTCATTTCATCAGTTACATTCAATGTGTGACGTTTCAAGGAATGACGGTTATGCATAAAGATGATAACGCTAGCCTCCTTCGAGGAGAATTCATTCATTTCTTTTCTGACATAAAGTCTAGCTAGATTGCAATGAAACTCATGATTATATGTCCTAGATGAACTTTGTATGAACTTTCTTAACCCTTATACGAAATGACACAGATAAATAAAATTACAAAAGTCAAATTATACAGTTTCACAATTCTGCTGATACAAGTTTTAGAAATATATACGAAACTATTTTAAGATGTGGACTAATTCTACTTTGCAACACAAAGCAGCTTGAATTAATTTAATCGAATTTTGTTTGAACTCATAGATTTTAACCTCGATGGTTTACTAGTACACCCTAAGTCTGTAAAAGGATAGAAAGTAGAGTGAGGCGCTAGTGAGCTCACCCTGGGAAAAAGCAAACCAAGCATTGCTACTTCAAAGCATGTAAAAATCAGTTGATATTTAACTGGAATCAGTGAAGACGAATGATACCGGATGGGGAAAGTCTTTGGGAGGCTTTTAGAAAATAATGCTTCCTCATTTGATGGAGGGCATTGATATGAAAAATCAATACCATTGTTTAGGCTGACTGAAAAGGTTGGTCACTATCCAAATGGAATGAAAGTGGACTCTATCTACTCTGGACACCTAGGCAGCAAACACTGGTACGATGAGCATGTGGTCATCCCTATGTCATCAACAGCGTCGAACGCTCTCATACAGTAGCATGACGACAAGATTCCATTCAACATGTAAGAGAGATAAACTTTTACAGAATTACGGATCAACAGAAGAAGGAGGTCGTGTGTTCCAAGCAGAATCGGAAGTACTAGTGTGGTGAGAGCAGGCCGTGAGAAAATATGTACAAGGCTGATTTAACAACCAATCACAGCAAAGTTAACGTGGCAAAATATGATTCGCAGATAGAGAACTCTATTTGTCGAGGAATCCCTAAACAACCAATCCGAAGCCTGCGTTTGTCTGCCTAACTTCTGATAAACAACCAATCAGATGACTGCGCTTGTCTACTTGCATAAGCTGTAATAATGTATGTGAAATATATATAAATACGTGTTGATTTTCATAATAAAACGATCTGTTGCCTGGCCCTTGTCTTCTGTTGTTACACTAGTACTAATAATTTAAAAATTTTTAATCGTCTGCAGCAGTTATTTCACCTTCTTTTACAGTCTCAAAATTTCCTTTATCACGGCTTTCAGTATTTGGCTTAATGAAGCAAACAACTAAAATTCCATTATATTATTGTTCACCGCTTGTGTTTAGAGTGAATCAGAAATGCATGACAGACGTTCAATAATCTGTTATCAGTATAGAAATCTGATTCATTCAGCACTGTCATGAAACCTGGCACCTTACGAAGATAATTCAGAACAACCTTCAGACTTTTATCAACAGCCGATTTCGCTTCATACCGAAGATCAGATGACCAAAAAGAATTGCAGTAATGGACTGTTGCAACAAACCAACCAGGAACATATTGACCGAAAAAATGCCGAAGTAAACGGCATCTTCTCCTCACCACACGTTCTTCTCCAAGTCACCCTCGGACGTCCCACTTGTCGTTTCTCATTGGAACTCAACTCGGGAGCCTGATGTGTGATGTGCGTCAGTGGCACAGTGGTTAGGATTCTCGCCGACCATGCACGTGGTCTGAGGTTCGATCCCCTGCTGACGCACACCAGATATCTATGGTCGGCCTGCAAAATTTGGGCTACCGATATCCATGCTGAAAATTCCATACTTGTACCAAAAATACAGTGTGGGATCAAGCTGTAATCAAAAATCAAAATCAATTGGTCACACACTACGGATGAGGTTGAGTGAAATCACATTCCAGATAGAGCCTCCAGTTTAACCTGACTATTAAACGTCTGGTTGAACACCTGAGAGTGGCTTGGGGGAGATGTTGCGATGAGGAGCTTAAGATTTTCGGTCAATCATAGAAGCAGCCAAAGAGTACTTCAGAGGAATGAGTGGAATAAAGATATGCTGTTGAAGCCTTCTGTTCCACTTGGAATAATAATATGATAACAATACGGTTTCAACTTTGTGCTTGCACTGCATTTACTTTTCTGCTACCACTTTTGGTTAACTATGCACAAAATTTCATTTCATCCACACAAATTATTCTGTGTACAGCTGTCGAGTGACGAACCCGTCGTCTGCCATCGTATTATTAGTAGCTCATGATATGTGTGTATTGGGTATAAATATAGAAACATCAAAATCAATGTACTACATTTTAATAATTGTAAAGCGCATAGTGCAGTTAATAGAATTGCTTGACTAACCTTCTTTTACCATGCCAACCTTTAGGCATTTTTGAAAACGACAATACTGACAGCGATTTCTTCGACGTTTATCCACAACACAATTTTTAGCTTGAAGACAAACGTATTGAGCATTTTTCTGTATTGTCCGCTAAAACGTTTATGGGGAAAAATAACAAAAGTCTGAATTATATAAAAGTCAAGATGTATAATTTTAATAGAAGTTCATAATGTATAGATCAAAGGAACTGTGGTAATGTATGTACTTCCCGCAGTTGACTAACCGGACTCAGACTTGTAAAAGAGGGAAGGTGAGACATAAAGATAGCTGTCATATCCTGTGAAAAACAAAACCCCATCACCAGTAAAACTTCAAAGAAGAGAAAGATCAATTTATTATGTTCCGAAAGTTTCCACGGAATGAAACTCTTAACGAAGACGGGCGGCCGATGTGACTTATTTCAACGGCAGAAAATAATTCATAGCGATGTGGGATGTTCACACTATATTTGAAGCTGCCAAGGATTCTCAAACTCCAGTAGTAATAACTTTTACCTTCTGGAACTCTCGGTTAACTTCGCGTCTTCAGTTGTTCAGTGGTAAAGTTAACATAGACACCGTTAAATATGAATAATTTCCAAATTTTTCTTATTTTATCTGAATCTCTATGAAAAGTAAAATGTGATATTGCACATTTGAATAACTACTCTTGACCAAAAAATAAGTAGTAGTACTCAATAACTTGGAAAATTAAAATCAACTCGTTAATAGTTAAATATCATTCCTTGTTTCGCTAAATATTTCATATATGCCTCGTATTGGTAAATCGTTGAAAAGTTCTACGCATAGTGCCAGATTTTAGTTTGACCTAATGAGAAAGATTAAGTTTAAAGCAGATATGTTTACACAGTTGTGTACAATTAAACTAAAATTGCGATTATACTGACTCATAGAAGGGGAAGTTTATATAAACTGAGATAGTTCAGTTGCTGAGAATGAAACTACTGAAATTATAACTCTATGTGAAATGTCTGGATAGAGAGTTTTCATAATTTGGTATATAAACAGTGATTGTGATGTAGTAGCTCTTTAATAAGTTTAAAAGACAGTGTGGACGAAATGGTATGTCAGAGTTATGTCAAAACGTTGAGCGATAAAAATATCGTATAATGTATATTTTGAGCTCTTTATATGTGTGATGTCACTATTTTCAGATTCCAGTATCTCACCTACTCAAATAGAAAGCTAACGGATGCTACGTTACGCTTATGATACGGAACTATACGGTTCGGAAGTCTGGGTTTAAAAATTCTTGCAAACTTGACTGATAGATTTTAGTCTGCATCGAAAAAAGGACTAGACATGTTACACTAGTTCCTTACCACCTGGTTTTCAGTCACAGTATCCAATACAATCTTACAGGAGCTTAATCTCAACTCCAAACAGTTCAGTGGTGACGTATTTAACTGTAACACTAGGTGACAATGGTTCGAGTCTCAGAGGAGACATGATTTCCTCAGAGACTACAGAAACTCTTTACTGACTGGTGAGTGTCAACAATCACGAAACCTACATTTGACTTGGCTTCCTGACGATCGCCTCCAACCATCTAATATCAACAGTTAAGAGGTTTTTTTCTCAAATTAGAGCAGGCCGATTTGAATGGCATGCATAGCAAAGTGGGTAGAATGCATAAACTCATTGCTTTAATAATGGCAGTATTAATAACTTTATTCTGAACGATGTACCTACACTCACTAAAGAATTCTCAGTACGTTCGACAGCATAATATTTATTCTTTAAACTGGATCCTTAGATAATACAGTGATTAGCAATATTATCATGCGACACAATGTTATTCATTTTGAAGCTAGACCCCATTCCTTAGAATGTTTTCACTTCTGTGGCAGCCTATTAAAGTCTTTTTAAAATTTCAAGCGAGTGCATCCCACACTAACTTGTTTATTAAATACACCACAAAGTGAAAAGTATGTCAATTCACATCATTTAAAAATGCGAGTAAAAATAGGATTAGTGAAATACCCAAATGATAGGGTGAAACGGCTAAATAAAACCAATGAAAATTTACTGTGAAACATAAGACAAACAAGCTCTAACAATGAAACGTCATGCTGATAGAAGTGTATAGGATATTATAAGAACTATAAAGAGGAAATTTAAGAAATCAGTAGTGTTGTTAAACAAATAGAGAAACTCTGAAAACTCATCTAGGATTTAAAGTGCCTTTCAAACCCACAAACCTATTTAGAAACAAAAAGTATGTTGGATAAATCTTTTGAACAGTTCATTAAATGAAACGGTTTGTTTTACCTAATGCAATGAAACGATTATGACATAAACCGCATAGATAAAAGCGGTTGACTAGAGATAATTAGCTGAACTTCCATTTTCCAACTTATGCCGTGGTTTTCACACTTCGAGTTGATTATATCAGCATAGTTCCCTTTTAGAAACAGAGATTATTCAATGGCAATCAAGAAAGCAGGCATAGATGTACCACACTATATACTACTGAGTAACTGCTTTGAGTAGTTGGATACCATCCACCGCAGATGAACCTTCCTCCTTCCAAATGAGCAGTGTTTATATCCCTTCGTTTTGGCTAGTGAACACCTCTGTTTCCTGTCAGTGATATCCAGCTACTTATCTCACTCAAATAGTTGAACGTGGCGCGGATGGATAGAAATGATTCAACATCTGTTTCGAACACACAGAATTTTCTACTGCTCTCAAATAAAGTGGGGGAAAAAGGAAAAGAACCACAAAAACTACGTTTTGATTAGATTATGAACAATAAATTGCAATCAAAATGTCTTCGAGTAAATTATAGTGTTTCACTGTATGAATTCTCAGCATAAACAACAAGACTCGAATTTGCCACATCAGTGTCAAGTCAGTTCTTCTATATGAGCCAGAAACTTGGCAAATCACGAAAAGCATTTCAAATAGCCAGCTGCAGACTTTAGTAACACATACCTTCGCTGAGATCAAATTGAGAATCAAATGGCCAGAAAAAATTGTTAATATTATTATATCCTTTAATAATTAGAGGAACATAGGGCTTCAGCTGCGCGTCTCCATTGCCTTATGTCTCCTGCCAACTTTTTCACCCTGCTCCAAGTCTGCCCACATGCTTTCATCTCGTCTTTACACGACCTCCTCCAAGTCACCCTTGCACTGACTTCAAAACACAACTAACGATCGAACGTTTGTCAACTTAAAATGAAAAACACATAAACAAGAATGGAAAATAATTTTAACGGAGATCCTACTAATACCTAAATTGTATTCAGCTGTAAGCTGTTCAAAGTGGGAGAAATTTTCAAACTAGTTTGCGAGGATTTGATTGTTTACAAGTTAGATCAAGAAAAGAAATCAGTATGAGAACCGCGGACCACCGAAATCACAGTGTCAGAATGAACCACCAACACGTCTCACAACCTGAAGATTCTTGATCCAATCCCTCTTGAGTTCATTAGTGATTGTTTTGAACGGTCCAGCACTAAGTTGAAGGAGATGTCTAGCACTCTCTAGTTTTCAGCGGTTCGCTAACTGGGGAAAGTTCATTATCTAACCTGAAGGTTGAATTCTAACAATCACTGACATATTTATGCTAAGACAGGAGCAGTAATTAATTGTTCAGAGAACTACTGCACAGACATGTGAATAAATTTTTTATTTGTAAAGGCAGTGATAAGAATAACCGTAGAAATTTAATCTGCTCGCCATGAGACCTAAATTTTTTTCTTTGACTCTACTTAACGCAAGATGTTTGGTGTGTGTAAGCCTAGACTGAAGCCACCAACCAGAGTTTTAATGCATTTATAGGCTCCATACTTAGTGTGCTTTACGCAGAACCGTCTTATTTTGTTTTTTTCTTTATTAACAGACCAATGCAAATTGTTTATTTATTTCCTGTTTAATTTTCGTTCATTTTTTGTTATTATCGCAGTCATGTGTCTTGTCTCATTATTAATTTAGTATAGAAAATAAACTGTTTCATGTGCTTTTATCTGTTTGTGAATTTTTGTTAAGTTATACTAGACAGTATCATACCTTATGATTTGATTGTGTTCTCTGAAATAAGTGCTTTAATTACAAACCTTTCATTGTCCTTTTAAAGAACAACTTCAGAGCTTATCACACCAAAAACATCCTATAGAGTTACATATCCTCGTCATTACTTAAGTATCTATCATTTTAGCCTGATCACTAACTGATTTCAGGTAGAGAATCATTCAAAACCACAAAGCACTGGAAGACCGTTTCGTCTTTATACTGAGCTCTTCATCAGTACATACCCAATAGAACCTTCAGGTTCAAAGGTGGGCTCATAGACCACTCGACCAATAGGAAGAATTCTAGTGACCAATTAATCCTAATTCCTTACAACTTTACAAAAACATAGTGTGAATAAGCATGTTAATTAGATGGGATTTTGGTATTTGTGTCTTTGTGTTATTTCACAATCTATATCTAGTTATGCTTTTTACTAACTGAGCTGAACTTATTGTTAAATGTTCTAATTTACTTAGTATTTCGTTTCAACTCCTACCTTCCCCTTAATCCAAAGGTATTTTACCACATTATGTAACAGTAAAATCTGATTGCTCGATTATTGGAATGCTAATTGTGTAATTTGTTCATATCAAGTGTTTCATTACACTGCTGGTAATTATTAAATGCCCTTCTAGTTGAAATCATTTTGAAATAACTTGTATGTTTCCACTACCTAATAATATCTCTCATTTTTAGATTGTTAACGTATGACGAATTTCCACATTATGTAGTTATGAGCACATAAGTCAAGATGGAGATCTCTTTTCGTAACTTCACTTCGCGGTTGTACTGCTATTTAAAGAGTTTATATACGTATACACAGGCGGAACTGACGAGGATATCAAAGCCAGAATCGGAAAACCAAGACAAGCTTTCATTACTCTCAAGTCTGTGTGGAGGTCAACAGCACTCAGTATCAAAAATAAGACCCGGATTTTCAATTCGAATATGAAGTCAGTGCTACTCACTATACGGATCAGAGACTTGCACTGCGCGTCATAAAGAGCATCTCAAATAAATTACAGACCTTCATTAACAGTTGTCTTCGCTCAATACTCAAGATCAGATGGC